CTCTCTCTCTCTCTCTCTCTCTCTCTCTCTCTCTCTCTCTCTCTCTCTCTCTCTCTCTCTCTCTCTCTCTCTCTCTCTCTCTCTCTCACCTCTCTCTTTCTGTCTCTCTTTCTCTCTGGCACTCACACTCGCAACATACACACATATACGACACCCTGACATGCTATCTCCTATTTGTAGAAAGGGGCTGGAACGGCAAGGGCTATACAATTGCGGTCGGCATGCCTCTGCGTTCCTAGCATGTTGGAGCCACGCGTTGCCTGTGACATCTGCCCATGCCGTGCCATTTGCTGCAGAACTGTGACTGCAAGAATTGGATTTTGATGCTTCCACGGTCCCCACCCGAACCGGTCCTGTCCGGTCTGCGCGCGTTGCCACTTACCGTAGGTGACGCCTGCTCCTCTACTCATTTTCTCTCCACATCGAGTCCACAACCCAAACAGTGACTGGCCTCTTGTGCCATTCTGTAGTAGTTGGCTCTACCAGTGAGTACAGAGAACCCTGTGAAGTTTGTCTTTCCCCTGTTATATTTCTTCCTCCCTCCATCCCCCTCCCCTTCCCCTTCTCCCTCCTCTCGCCCCTCATGTAGAACTACTCAATGGCAAAGGAGTGTACACATTCCACGCTGCCACTCCCCCTCTTCTCTGCCTCCTTTTCATGGCGTGCAAGTGGGCTGTTATGGCACCGGGGGAGTGGGCAGCTCACGCTCAACTACATCAATGTGCTGAGCCTTGTACATGAGAGGCATAGGAAAGGTGTATAACCGAGAGAAGAAACAAACAAGAAACCACGTAAAAAGGCGAAGTAAGGACAGACAAGAAAGAACTGCACAATACCTTTCTCGGCCTTTTGGCTAAGATCAAGTGTAGTATCTGTTCTGATCAGTTTTTTTTAAGGAAAAAGAAAGAACTGCACAGGAAAAGGCAAAACAACAGGTGGGCGAGGCAAGTGGGTGCAGAAAAAATGCCCCACCATGAGTTTTTGAAATCATTCAAAGAAAAACAAACGGCCTCATTTTTTGGGCCTGCCAGCCTGTGCCAGGGTGATTCCAGCGGGTGGGTCTGCGCCCGCCACCCATGCCTGGGTGCTCGGCTTGGCACTTGGGCCCAGGCAATCCTCGCAGCCTGGTGTGGCTGGCACTCGATTTACAAGCTGTTATTAGGTCCTTCTCTCCGAAGGGCTTTTTTGCCTGGATATAGTCATGAACTTGGTCAGATGTATGCCACAGATTCCTGATCTCAGTAAATGGCGAAATGCCCTCAGATGGCCAGTTATTTTTGGAAACAAACTTCAAAGGTAGAATATATGCACCTCAGCAACAGCGTTCCGGGCATCACCGAACTATGAATTCTTAGGCTGCTTTTGACCGCAATGACAGCCAGATTCACATGAAAAAACACTACGGTAGTGTGAACACTCCCCCTGATCAATCATTGGGTGAAATAATTGGCATCTAAATAAAAGTTGTTATTACTACTTGTTAGCTGGGTTAGTAAAATAACAAGCTCCAATGTATTTGTCCTCACAATGTGACTACTTTCTTTTTTTTTTCTGTACCTATGTGTAATTGCAGTTCGTTGACGGTGGTCAGAATGACAAGAATGGCGGGCAGAGTGTTGGTGCTGCTGCTTCGGTGCATGACGGGTACAAGCCGGAAGAGTGAGTTTTTTTTTTTCAAACCTTCGCCCCAGTCGCCTTTATTATGTAGTTATGGAAGGGTCGAAAACTTTGAAAGTAGTGAAACAAGACCCTACCTTCTTCCCCCGAATACAACGTACGGTCATTATAGCTGTATTTGGGGTATGTTTCAGTCTAAATACAGCTATAATGACCGTACGTTGTATTCGGGGAAAGAAGGTAGGTATTTACTTAACCGGGGACTAACTGAGGTTTGCTAGGTATTGGCTTAACTGGGGACTGACTAAGGTTTGCTACCGTCTTCACCCGAATAGAACGCCCGGTAATTATCGCTGTATCTGGACTGGAAGTTGCCCCAAATACAGCTATAATGACCGGGCGTTCTATTCGGGTGAAGACGGTAGAGGTGATTGGGACCATTTTGCTGACTGTGGAGTGAGCCCCAAGCGAGGCGTTCGCCAGTGCTCACTTTGTCTCCCATTTCCTGCTGCTGCATTTGGTCTGACTGTCCAACTTTTTTTTCTGGCATGTCAGGACCATGTCTCCATTTCTTGATTTGTGCATGCAGCCCTCATGCAGCAACCACCCTACTGTTGTCTTCCCCTGGTCACAATGCACCCTCATCATGACTGTATGAGACCTGAAAGATCGCGTATATACCTTCATGATGAGACTGTCTTGGGTACGGGCGAGGATGGTAGATCTTCATCGTTGTAGGTTGAATAATGTATGTCCATTGTCCAAAGAACACAGGAGGTGTTTCGCCTTTTTCCGAAACATTTTCATCGTAGTTTCTGGAAATATGGACATGTACCCGCTTTGGAGTTCAGACTTTACAGGCAAAACTTTACGGGAGGCCTTCCTTGACCAAAGGGGGGGGGAGGGGGAGGGGGAGGGGGAGGGGAAATTCTAGAATTTTTCTTCCTCTCAGAGTCTCAACTACTGCTGTACTTTAGGCTTTTTGCACTGTTTGCAGTGTGAAGTTTGAAATTTTGCAATGTGCACTGAGTCACTGACCTGTCAAGTGTGACAGGGATTTACTTCCACAGATCAACCAACATGGTGATGCCACTGCAGGTGCTGCGAACACACACAAAAAAACTTAAGAAAAAAAAAAAGAAAAAAAAAAGGATAAAGAAATGGCAATTTTGAATTTTCAGATGCTGTGAATTTAATAGCATTCTCACAATTTCACTCTGTTGTCATTGGTTGTCATGTGAAAGCCTTATAGAAGGTATATACATATACATATTATACAATAGTTAATGTAATAATTCTGTAGGAGATAAGTCAGACAAGTCTTTGCCTATATCCAAAAAAAAAAAAAAAAAAAAAAAACTTTGAAAAAGTCTTTGCCTATGCATCCAGTTTGCAAAAGGTTGAAAGGGGTCTATTTTTTGAGGTAGGTGGGTGCTACCGGTAATGGTCATTCTTTCTGATGAAGCATTCTTTGCCACATTGCTAGCAACCTCACTTTGTTCTTGCTGTGCATTTGCCTACTGTGGACACTTGCTGCCTTTTCTCCCAACACTGCCAACAGTGTGTTCTTGGAGCAGATCAGCGATGCTGTTGCAGAAGAGACTGGTCTTACGTTTGCAGCGACAGAAAAAAGCAGTTGTGAATTTCTGGTGAGTTGCGCGTTTATCATGTGTGGAAGCTTTCGGAATGGTCTGCGATCTTTTTTTTCACCGTATGGATTTCCGGATATTTTCAACAACTTCGTGCATGGGTCTTTCGTAGACACCCTGCCTCGGGTCGTCGACAAAGAATCGGTACGGACACTTCGTATGTCGGTTCGAGCGAGTTGGGGGCCGCCCCCGCCTTCGGCGATCTGAGTTCCCGTTTCCTGCCCTAGGTTGTGCGTCTCTGCATGTTCGGCCTGGCAATAGTAGTATTAAAGCACCAGTAGATGGGCACCTGGGCCGCGGGTCTGACACCTCAAATTCTGGAGGCACGAAACGAAAACGCCGCCGCCGATCGAATTTATCAACGGCGGGCCCAGCATTTGACGTTTCGGTCTACGAGTCGTTTTCTTGTGGCGACAAGTTTCGGACTGCAAGGCTGGGGCCGTGTACTTGTAGTCTAATCTATCTATATTTTTTATCTATTAATTGCTAGTGCAAGGAATATGAGTGTGAACGATATACAGAAAACCAAGTTGTGAAATCACACAGCTGTCCAGGTAGTCGTGTCCAAGCAGAGATTACGAAATGCAACGAGAAACCATCCATGTAGAGCAATACAATGAAGTAATGAGCCAATGTTCAAGCCCGTAGGTCACACCAGCACAATAACCAAAGTCGCTCCCCTCTGTCTGGCGCCCAGCGCCCAGCCTACTCTACCCGACTATCCTACCTACAGCTAGTTCACGCAACAGGCTCACTTCGACTCACGAAGACCAATGTACATGATGTCAACACCATAGCCGACCTCTCTTCATGCACCAGGTACGTATCTCGTCACCCTCAGTCAGACCTTGATTACCCCACACTCGCCTCCTTCCCTGAACACCACTCGATCGCCCTCATTACCCCCTGGCACCCAGCAGCTCGGCTATGGCCGCCTGCGCCCCGCTGCCCTGCAGCGCCCCACTTCCCCACTACGCGCCCCGTCAGCGCCCTTGGCAGCAGCGCAGCATCAAGCGATAGCACAGCAGCACTTCCGCATTGCCAGCACTGGCCAGAATGCCTGGCCTGGGCTGCCTCACTTCCTTTATGGAAGTGACAGCCTCCTGGATGCTGCGTGTGGCCTGGCTGGAAGCTTCCAGTAGCTTCCGGTTGGGCCTCAGACCCTGCGCCCAGGCCCGAGACCACAGTTGAGGGCCTGGGCCCCATGTACAGTTGGGCACGGCCTGAGTCTCTGGACTTGGGATTTTTGCTGCATCTGTGCAGGGCTCCCGAGTAGGTGCGTCGACAGTACTGCTTTTGCGTAGGCCGATGGCCTGCTTCTCAATGTATCGGCCCCGCTTTGTGTGTATGTGCCCAGGCACAACTGTCCAGCCTGGGCCAACTGTACGACGCAGCTTAGTGAGGCTCGCGCGTCCATTCAACCAACTGGTGTGCTGCAAGAGCCTGAACACCCACATATGGAAATGTCAAATTTTGGCCTCTGACGAATATTCAGGCCTGCCTTCACTTAGGGCGGGCACTCGGCTTGCTGGGGGCCTTAGCCCAGAACATGTGATTTGCTCTAGTGTCCTTCTCTTTCGATTTGCTCGACTCTGACTTCTCTGCTGAGATTGCTCCCTGGACCCACCCCCTCCCTCCTTTGCACATGTAGAAAAAGGAGAAGAAAATGGCAAAAGAAGGGAGCAAGGGCAGGATGTAGAGGACAGGAGAGAGTGAGAGGGAGGGATGGAGAGAGAATGTAGGGAGGGGGAGGGAGGGGAGGGGTAGGGAGGGGTGGAGGGAAGAGGGAGGGAGAGGGAGAGAGGGAAAAAGGTGGGAAAACGTGAAAGAGAGATGGGAGAGGGCAGGAAAGGGAGAGAGGGAGAGAGGGAGAGAGGAGGGAGAGGAAGGGAGAGAAGTAAGGAGGGAGGGAGGGAGAATTACTAATGAAGGATGAAAGAGAATGAGATAGAGAGCAAAGGAATGAGGGATTGGAAGGGAAGGATGTTGCTTGAAGTAGTCCGCTCGTCAGTAAGCTGGTGGGGTGTTGTTGACTTCACTAATTTTGATGTTTTTTTTTTTTTGTTGTTGTTTGCTTTTTTGTGCCTTGTTTCTCCGTAGGCACCTCATGATGCTTTTGTCGGGATGAGCAGTGGTCTGAACAGAGTTGCAAATTCCCTGGTCAAGATTTCACACAGCAGAGCAGCTTTTGGAAGGTATGCAATCTATGGATCTACACTACCATTCAATCCAATCCAATCCAATCCAATCCAATAAGTAGCCAATGAATGCAACACCTGCCGTCTTCACCCGAAGAGAACGGACGGTCATTATGGCTGTGTATCTAGACTGAAAGTTGCCCCAAATACAGCTATAAGGACCATGTGTTCTATTCGGGTGCTGTTGAACTTTGCCGCCACTTTGTCGATGCAGACTGGGTGGCAAAGTGTGAACTGACAGCACTCGAGCATTTTGTGCATTATCAAGTCTCAAATACTTCATAAAAACAAAGATTTTTTTTTTTTACCTTTTCAAGTTTTTACTGTTTTCAGCCTGGGCTCATGTAGCTGCCTGGTCATGCTTTGTGCGCTACAGCTAACGTCTTCGCCCGATTACAACGCATGGTTATTTTATAGCTGTATTTGGGGCAACGTTGAGTCTAGATACAGCAATAATGACCATACGTTGTATTCGGGTGAAGACAGTGGTAGTGACAGCCTGTCGATTCCACCCGCCACCCAAGCGGCAGTAATAGACACTGATGATGGTCCCAGGAGGAGGGGAGAGAGGGGAGGCGCAGTGAGTGGCAAATTACACTCAGCACTACCCAGCACTAATGGGTTATCCCTGGCTGGTGTCGCCCACCTGCCGTCGTCACCCGAATACAACGCCCTCTCATTATGGCTGCATCTGGACCGAAAATTGCACCAAATACGGCTATAAGGGAGGTTATTGGGAGAGATCTTCAGTATTACCTCCAGCTTGTCTTCATCATCTTGTTGGCACGTCATCTGGGGAGGCTGAGCGGACTCACCGACTAAAGTGTTGGGTTGACGTGGCCGCAAGACTACCTTCGAGTTAGGAGGAGGAGGAAGGACGAGGATTGGAGGAGGAAGAGCAGGAGGAGGAGGGACAATGCTCCCATTCTTGTGATTGGCAGTTGCTAGGAGAGAGAACCGCCTTCCAATTCATGATTGAATTGGTGTAATTGTTCATTATTTTTTTGTTGAATTCATTCTTTAATATCTTTATTGAATAAGATAGGAGCAGCTTGTTTGAGGAGGGGAAAAAAAAGGAGAGAAGACTCAATATTGTGTGCAGAAGAAGACGAAGAAGACGAAGAAGACGAAGAAGAAAGAAGCAGCAGCAGAAGAAGAAGAGGTTGGTCTTTGAGGCAAGAATGTGGGCTTTGCTGGACGAGCAATGCTGATGTATGGTTGTGGTTGCCGAATGGTGATCGAGCCGGCAAGGGTCTTGGCTTGTGTTTATCTGCAAGATTTTGAAACAGTGAGACTCGTTCAATCACAGCTGATGGTGATCCTGTTTGAACTTCACACTTTGCAGTGATGACTGTGATGGGCAGTCGGAAGAGAAGATCAGAAAAAGTACAGTGAAGAAGGTGAGTGATGTTAGTGGCTTTCTTTCTGACAACTTTCTAGATCTCAACTTGTCGATTGATATTCTTGGATATGTGATGTGCACGCACACACACACACACACACACACATACGCACACACACACACATACGCACACACACACACACACACACACACACACAGAGAGAGAGAGAGAGAGAGAGAGAGAGAGAGAGAGAGAGAGAGAGAGAGAGAGAGAGAAGTGGAGGTTGGGGGGGGATCCTGACACGCACACAGGATGCGATTTCCCCCAACCCCCACCCCCCATGCCCCAGCCCCCACTTCTCTCTCTCTCTCTCACTTGACCCACACAGTGTGTACATGTGTTGTCATGCTCGCCATTCACAACTCCACAAAAAAAGAGGGTGTGTGTCAGACTGGGTTGCCGGGCTTTCACCAACTCACGAAACTGTTTGGTGGACGTTGCCTGACTCATCATGTGTGTGTGTGTGTGTTTGAGGTAGAGAGCGAGGGGAATTTGTGCCATCAGCACAAATGCCTGGAAGTACTGGGGCATCTGGAAAAGTTGAATGAGGGCATACTGAAGAGATGTTGGGTCAATCCACGCATGGGGCATTTGGAAAATTTGGACAGCCATCAGAAGGGCATTCCACGATGCCCACGTACTTTAGGTGCAAAATTGCCGCAAATATTGATTTCTGCCATCTTTCAAGGGTAAAAGGCAAATTATCCCAATAAATAAGTATTGGAATTGATTGGTGATGGGGGGGTTTGTGATTTGGATGGGCTCGTTGCACTTTGCTTTTCCTTGTAACTTTGAAAGAGGAAAAAGGAAGGTTGTCCAAGTTGTTTTCTAAAGTATAAACTTATAAAGAGAAGGGGGGTTATCAACTTGGAAATGATTATCTTCCAAAGTGGGGGATCTTTCACCTCTCCTCTCTCCCCATGATTGGCTCCCTTGTCACTCTTTCCTCTTCTGCTTCCCTTTCCTCTTCTCTGTGTCTCCCCATTGCCTCTCAAGTTTCTAGGAGACATGCTGATTGCGACTTTGATGTCAAATTGGCTCTATATTTTCAGGAAAATGTAGGTGATGCAAGGTGCAAGGCGCTGAGCATGCTCACTATTGTCTGTGCACAGGTATGTGGCTAAGTGCTGTGAGCATCCAAGTTGAATCATGATTCAAAACTTGAAACTTGAATTTGAAAAACATGGATTGGAAGTTAAGAATTGAGCACATGTGTGTGTGTGTGTGTGTGTGTGTGTGTGTGTGTGTGTGTGTGTGTGTGTGTGTGTGTGTGTGT